GGGATGTTGAGTAACATTACTAATTTTCAATTAGTGCTCAAAAAATACACCCGAAACAGGGGCAATATTTATCTAAGAAAAAAAGATGAAAATTTTTTTATTATCTGCATTTTGTTTTAAATTCAGCTAAATGCTAACTTTTGTTTTTTTTTAATAGGAGATTTGGAAGTTTTGGTTAAAATTATTTACGATGCAATATTTACATCCAGAAATTATGTAACTCTGGAATTTCTAATAATTGGACCAGTTTTTTTCCAATACAATCGTGACCATCTAAAGTCAAAGAATACACTATCTTTCATGGTATGTGGATGTCTGCTGCAGAGAAATCAAATGCTTACACCTCTACCACAAATGTCTTTTGTTGACGATCTTTTACAAGCCTTTGTATTCTCTTATTATGTATTCTGGTTCATTCTTATACATATTACTTGCATTAAAATTGATAACCTTCCCCGGAAATAAAATAAATCATGCTCGTACACACTTGAAAGAACGTTGCTTATTACATTTTTCTTTAAGTTATTGAATGTAAAAACTAACTAGAAAATGGGATATTCACGAAGGTTTAATTAGTTGGGACACTTGAAGAACAAGGAACCAGTTATTATTACATCACGTGAAATCATGCAATTACTTATTTGTTTACTAGAACTAAACAAATTAACCTAAACTAACCTATCACCTAACCTAATACTAACCCTAACGTAGGCCGAACACTTAATCATGTGATGTGATTATCATGAAGATATCACTGGGTTCCTTGATCTTCAATCTTCCCATCATTTGTTACATATCTGTTATAAACGTTCGATGCATTAAGGGCGTATAATTGCAAAACAAGAGCAGGATTTATCCTCGTGTTTACACAATATAATCATTTTTATGCACGTCCGTAATTTGTGACAGGTTAAGCCACTAATCTCAATCACCATCCGATTATACATTAACAAAAATACTTGAAGTTAGAATTTAAAACTTATAAATTCAAAAGACTAATATTTATATAAAAACAATAAAAAATTTTAAATTTTAAAAATAAAATAACGAATACCACATAAATATTCCTCCAGTATATTATAATTACTTTAAGCAAAGCAAACAATATGATGTTTCTTTAACATATATTCTTATTTAAATGATACTTTTTTTTTTATTTTAATTCAACCTTTTTTGAATGAAGATAACCCAAAAGAGCTGAATTCACTTTTCTTCCATATTATTTATTCATGAACTCATGTTTTCACAGCACTATTGATTGAACAGTCATGTCTAAAATCATAAAAAAAAAGTTTTGGAGGATTTTATTTTTGTTACATTATACTGCGCGTTGAGTTATCTAACACAATTCGTAATGTTGGCCTAAAATTTCGATAGTTTGAATTAATAACTAAAAATGAGGTGATGCTGTAAACATCGTTTATAAGTTTTTTTTTAAAAAATATATCCAAATTTGTATAACCTGCGAGGCATTTGAAGGACATTCATATTAAAAAAAAAATTTTTATAAGCTTTATTAAAAAATTTGTTCACTTTTAAGTTTTATTAGAAGTCGATAGGGTTATTTAAACTTTTAATCTGCACACTTTTATTATGTCAGAAAAAAAAATTAATTTACAAAATCGAAAAAAAAATAAATATTCAAATACGATCAATTCGTTTTTTATATATTCAACTTCATAATTATAGTTTTTTCATTATGATTTAAGGCATAGTCGGACGGTGATTGAAATCAGTGGCTTAACCTGTCACAGATTACGGACGTGCATTTTTATTTTAAGTTTGTGTTACAAGTACTAACGCTCCCCTTTAAATACTTGCTACACAGAATCAGTCGAAAATCGTTATCATTATATTATGCAAATAAAAAAAAAAAAAATACAATAAATCAGATAATAAAACAAAATGAGTACGTATACTAGTTGAAATCCATTGATAGTGTAGCAAGATCGGCCCCTTAATCTTTTTAAAGAAATTATTGCCTAAAAAAGAGTAATAGCATCTTATTAAAAAGATAACAAATTTATTGCTCATTGGTCAGTAAAAATATTCAAAGAACAAAATGTGAATGGCAAAGACTAGGAATTGGAATTTTGATGTAGAATGACAAATGGTTTTAATTATTATTTTAAAAACAGTGATGTTATAATCTGGATATCTGGTATACTTACAAATTTAACTGCAGTCTATCTTCTCAACCGCCACGAACTTGATTTTAAGAAATTTCTGTGCTTATATAGAAGTTAAATTCATATATTTTACATAAGTTTGTTTTAAAAAATTGGTGTGATTATAAATAGAATGACTACATAGAGAGTATCTATAGAAAAGTTAGATTACATCATCACTTATTTTAAATCGATGAAAAGTATCAGAAAAAATTTTGTCATCTGGTGTCTAATTCGCTTCAACACACAGATTTATTATGGTACACGAATATGCAGGTGACAGATGAACGTAGAATGAATCAAAAAAATTTTGACATCTGGTACCCGGTTCTCTTCAGCTCCGTGGTTCATAAATATTGCACCACGTGACACAATACTACGTACGTACGTACGTACACAGGCGAAATCACAATAGTGTCAATTTGAGTTAGTGCACAACTAGTATAGTATATACATGCTAATTTATGTATACGTGCGTATGACAATTTAAACCTTCTTGTACGTGTAGAACCTTTATATTTTTCCTCAATGGTATGTATGTACGTACATATGTATGTAAAATGAATTTATTGAGGTTGCTGTGTTTGTAAATATGAAAACAAAGATCAAAAATGGTGTTATGGCATGAACAAAATGCGCAGGGATCTTATGTCATTGCTTTTATGTAAACGTACAGATCACACAATAATTATTATTGTTAATAAAATATATACATCACAATGGTCATAGTTGATATATAAATAAATTTAACCGATTAAAGTTTATTTTAGCAATTATTATTCCAATTTAAACCTAGTTTTTTAAATTTTAATTTTCCGGAGAAAAAATTCCAAACTTCTATGCAAGTTGATGTTAGAATTTAATTTTTCGAAACAGCTATAATAATAAAATATAGAATAGTAGCTTTTAATGTTAAGGAAGTAAATTTTTAAACGTCAATCAGCATTTATTTTCCTAGCAATGATCAGAAAAATGAAGTAAAGTCATTATACTGTAGTTGTTTAAACACTCGATATAATGAAGACTAATATAATGAAAAGAATTTTAAATATCTTAAATTATATTATTATAAGTCTAGTATCTATTTGATATAAGTTGTAGTATGATTTTTTTTAGCCCGATGCCGATGACCTTACTATTATGAATTTCTATGTATAAAAATTTTTTTATTCTGAATCACAATGGTGTCTAATACTATCTAGTTTATTATACATAAATAATAATTTAACTAAAAAAAATCGGCAAATTAATAAATTTACTAGATGAAAATGGCCAGATCTAATGGTCATAAGACTACCTCAGGTGAAAATGATAACAATATGTACAACCTTTATTAATTGACTGTGAAGTCTTATGTTGAAAAAAAAAATATTTTATAATATTAGGCCATATAAAATTAGTTTTTTGGTTCTCATAACATAAAATTTTAAAAATGACCCGGCAACCCGGCTTTTAATTTTATTTTCAAAAAATTTTATATGTAAAAAACATATAAAATTTTTTACAAAAATTTTAAAAAGTTCACCCGGATAGTAAATATAGTAAAAAAATTTTTTCAAAATTTTGTTGAATTTGACCCGGCCGGGTTATGAGAACCAATTAATTAAGTTTGTATGGCCTTAGTTAAGCTGCAAACAAAAATTGATTTAATTTTATTTTATTTATAACATCTGTTGTCATCTAAAAATAAATTTTATTTCAAAATTTATTTGTCAGTGCTAAGAACCATTTTTTATAAGCACTAAATTACATTTCAAATTAAATTAAGTTATATCTGTATTATAATTACAGTATTCTCCGATAATAAGCACCCTTTTTTTTTTGCTATAAGGTTGCTTATTTTCGGGTCTAACTTCAACTGCCATAGAGTAATACAACTCTGCAACAAATAATTTCAACAAAAAGTTCATTAACAGATTTGTTGTACTTTGCTCCAGCTACAATTTGTTACAGTAAAATAAGGTTTTTTTTTTCACAATAGTTTTGCAAGATTATTTTAAAGTTTATATGCATTTGGCGCCAAAATATATATATATAAAAATTAGTTGTTTTATTATCCAATTAAAATTGACTCTTCATATTTGGTTACGTAATGTTTTTACTCCCGGTACTGTATATCCACTTTACTATCTAAAAAACGCTAGGTTTGCACAATATTTTGATTTTATCAATTCATGTAAATAAGGTTTAAGAATTACAAATTTAAACTTTAATCTGTGTTTCATTGGGCGCAAATGCAAGCACGGAACTTCCCCGTACTTTGGAATAAGGTTGGCAAAGCATTTAAGGTTTAAATATGTTTAAACATTTTAATAGTGCATAAACATCACCTGATTTAAGTCAATAAAAATTTTTTTTTACAATCCCAACTTTGAAAGAAAACTAATAAATTGTTGATTTGTACGACCGAAGCTTTTGAAATATAAAAAATAATTACGTCTTATACCATTATCAATGTGATTATGTGTAACTCTCGTTGCTACACGACTAAATAAAGAATATATGCATTTCTTTCTTTTAACATAAAATATACGTAGTAAGTAAAAAAATGTTGGCACTAATTTATGAAATCTTTTTATGAATCAAGAATTTATTTTTATTATTATTATTTTTTTTTTGATAGCCAATATGAACCTTTGTACGTTCTGAGATCTCCTTCATAGTAAAATGGCATAAATCAAATACGCTATACACGTATATTTCCCTAATGTGAAGTGGTTGTGTAAGTGCAGAAAAAAAAAATGCGCCACGTATTTCTTAAAATTATATTTAAATTCACTCTCTCATTCATTTTTTAGTTGTCCAAGCTCCAAGTTTCTATTGTACAAGGAAATGGATGAATCATCTCATTCACAAGACGTGCGCCCATCTAAAAAAGATGAGCGTTCATTTAAAGTTGATGAGCATTTGTTTAAGAAAAACAAACACTTATCGGAAAAAGACGAACATCTGACTAAAAAAGATAAGTATTCGTCTGAAAATGGACTTAAAAAAGAAGAGCATCAAATTAAAAAAAGACTTAAAAAAAGAGTGCAACAACATAAAAAAAACATATTTTCATTTAACGTTCGTAAAATGAATAAATCTGAAATTATGAAATGGATTGAATTCTGTAGAAATTCCAATAAAAGCAGAACCCCTTCTGCTTTTTTACTCTTTAAGAGTACAAATAAGCTTGGTCCAAAAGACGCCAGCGATACATATAATTATTTATCGGATAATGTTAAATCTGACTATGATCGTTGTGCAGAAATTATTAAGAAAAGCACTTATGAACCCGAGACAGCCTATAAGATGCTCGAATTTCCGCTATGTTTTTTCAATTATGATTCTAAATTTTTTAAATCGAATGCTCAAAATTGTTTAGCTACGTCAAATTTCAATAACAATTTTGAAGAGAATTTATCTCATCATTCTTTCTCGGTCGAGCAAGCACCAAATGGAGAATTGATTCAAGACATTTTCTCTGTTCATGTTATCAACAATATGTTTGCGGATCAAAACACAGACATGTCTCTTCTTAATGATGGTAATATTGTCGAAGAGAAAAGGTCATCTTTGCAATTACTTTATCAGTCTCATGGCGAGCAAATACAACAGCCAGAATCCCAGGACATGGATATGCCTCAATATCTTGACGTACCATCTTTTAATTGTGGCAACATTGCTAAAGAGCAAATACCCCCCTTGCCATTGCAATACATAGAATCAGATCATATTTTAAATAGCATGCCTTTTATGACTCAAGATATGGATACTTTTAATTATATTAGTGCTGGTGAACAACAACTATATATGACTTCTATTCCTAAAATTCGTTATGATACGTTCCAAAAGTTCCATTAAATTCCGATTACACAACCAATTTCATTACTCTCCGCTATCTAGAATCTCAATTTATGCACTGATTATTATGTCTGAAATTGAGACTTGAGGACTTGGTAATGAATTGAAATTTGATCGAGGACTCAGGAAATCAAGTTTGGTGTAATTCATTTAACGTTATATATTAAATACTGTATATTGGTGAATATATTTTTTTTGTTTGTTCTGCTATTTATGTCTGTTGAAAATTAATTCTTAGTAAATAGTGTCATCATTCACTTTCTTTTTGGCAACTTCTTCATAATTATATATGTTTAAATAATCTTAAAAGATGAAATAAACAAAGTGTCGGTTTGGAAAAAAAGATAGATGAATCAATAGTCTTACCCAACTTTTGATCCTTAAGTCTTTTGTTTTATTACTTGCATATCAGCATCTAGAATATTGTCCACATTACGGGATGTAATACCTACATGATTCGATGGATATTGCATAAATTTCACCAATATTATCACTTATAATCATTTATTTAGAACCACCGATATCACCGATATGAAAGAGTAGGTATTTGGAATTTGCTTTTATAGAATATTTCTCTTATTATTGTAAGGCCAAGTGAGTGAGTTCTTATGGGTTATTGGATTTAATGTCGCATTCTATAACTTTTGATCATCCAATAATTATCCAATAAGATTGTATGTCACGTATGACGTATGATATGTTTTATATCTCAGTTTTACCAAAAAAAAAAGATTTCTTGAGAAATTATTCTGTAGAGTATTTCCCTACAAGCTACTGAAACATGAAAATTTATGTACACTAAACACATAAGTTTGCGAACAAATGCTTATTATTCTTATTTCCCTTAGAATAATTTTTATTTTAATCTGACGCGCCCAAAAATAACGCGAACTGAAATAAATAATACCTAGTTTTATAGAAAGAAGACGAAACCCTAATAAAAAAAAATGTACCAAAATTATACAGAATTGATATTAAAATTTTCTGTATCAAATTCCGTATATATTTTTACGGAATTTGCATCACTTGATACAGAATTTTTTACGGAAACTTTTTAATTCATAATTTAAAAAGGCATATAATAAATAAAATTCAAGATTAATTCTATATATAATAAATATAAATCATTTAGAAATTCTGTATGTAATAAATATAATTAAAGTTAAAGTTTGTATAATTTTCGTATGTAATAAATATAATTAAAGTTAAAGTTTGTATAATTTTCGTATGTAATAAATATAATTAAAAATAGATTTGTATAATTAAAGATAAATTTTAGATAAATTCCATATATAATAAATATAATTAAAGATTAATTTCATATATAATAAACACTTTTACTAAACCGCACCTATGGTGTTTACCACCTAAATCCCTATTTCTCAAAACGTACTAAGTAAATGGGATCGGGTACTCTAAGTAAAAATGTTCAGGACCCCCAAAAACCTCACAAATACTAAGATCGGGCCTTATATTAGCTCTATATTATATTATATAATAAAAAAATAATTCTTAATACCCAAACCCTAACTCTAAATTTATTAAATACAATTATACAGTATATGGTGCTAAAACACCATAGGTGCATTTTATAATAATTATATAATAAATATAAATTTTGTATATAATAAATATTAATTCTATGTGTTATTAATATAAATTATTTATAAATTCCATATAATTTCTATATATAATAAATATAATTAAAGATATATTTTGTATAAATTCCATATATAATAAATATAATCACAATATTTATTAATTTGAATATATTAAATATTATTATTATTATTATTTATTTTGTAAATGTCAAGTATAGAAATGAAAATGGTACATTATATTTATCATGATGATAATTTAGTACAAGTAAGGAATTTCCTAGATTAATTACCTAAAATTTATGCAAAAGAGTAAACTATTACTTGCAGTCTAATATGATAAACCACTACAAAAAATTGGTATAACATTATACACAGGTCCAAAGCATAAATATCAGATATCTGATAGCTAACGATAGTTAACTATTTGTGCTAAAAGTTTGATCTATATTGGCAATATGTTAAAAAATATCAAAAGTATATCAGGTAAAAAATAAATATCGGTATCCTAATATTTATTCTTTTGCCTGATTTGCTTCTAATATTTTTTGACAGATTGCCAAAATAGATCAGATTTTTGGCACAAATAGTTAACTATCGTTAGCTATCAGGTATCTGATATTTATACTTTGGACCTGTGATACCATCTACTTTTTATTTAATAATTTAAATTAGTTAATAATTTAAATTTAGATAGCTAATAGATACCAATATCTATAAGAATTAGGGATAGAAAATATAAAATATTAAGTTATATAGGCATAAGCAATAGTATATAAAAGAGGAAAAGATATAATAAGAGAGAAAAAAAAAAGATAGAAGAAAAAAGGAGATAAAAATAAATAATAAGTGTAAAATAATAGAAAATAAAAATGAAATAATAATAAAAAGAAAGTAGTAAATAAGATTAGAAAAGGGAAGTAAAGATAAAAAATAAAAGTAAAATTTAGATAAAGAAAAGAAAAAGAAGAAAGTTTAAAATAGAAAAATAAGAATAGAAAAATATAAAAGAAGCTTATATATTGTAGTTAGTAATGCTTCTTCAGTGCACCAGGTTTAGCATGCTACTAGTAAAGTTGAATATTGGTTTAAAATAAGTATACAATTCTCTAACTACTATACTATGAGTGTGTATACAATAAAAGGCAAAAATACAGGATTTTTAAAGATTTTAATTTGATTTGGATTACAAATAAGAGGTGATAAGGTGTGGTGACTTAGTGAAGTGGTGAAGTTGTCACACCCCAAATGGCAGGTCTAGAGTTCGAATCCCACAAACGACGATTTTGAAAAAACTAGATTTGTATTGGTTAATGTTAAGATTATCAGTTGGATCCAGATATCTGTAATCTTGGT